TTGAAGTTCTATTATAATCAGTTGTTCCTTTTTTGATAAAAAATTCTTAAAAATAAATTCATATTATAGAACAAATCTTTGACTTTTAGATCGTTTTCTAAATTAATAAAAGATCATTTTTCAATAACGACTATCTTCATCGAATTAGATAATTCCGTTATCTAATTTTCGTCCAATCAGACTTTTCGATACTAGGAATTCAGGACAAAAAGGAAAAATCTCATTCCGAGTCATTCGCATGGACTGGAATGTCTGAGTAGTTTTTCCTGTTGTAATTGATCTTTGATCCGCCGGTAGCAGACAAACAGTGGATATATCCGTTTGACTTGGAATGTCCGAATGAGATTTCTCCCCCTTGGTTGAGGGTGTCGTGTGTGATTTGTGAGTATGAGTATCATTGGTTGAATATGTTAAGAGAGGTAGGAAACGGCACACCTACACTCACTCTGATGCATCTATCTAATATTAGTATTGATTGGCTTTATTAAGTAATATATTATAGAAAAGTGAGTCTGAAGAATGAATATCAGTTGTATTTAAGTGATAGAAGAAATCTAAATGAGAGATCCTTTATGAATAATTTCTTATATTTTTCATTGTTGTTGCGTTTCATTTTGATAATAATTAATATTGTGAAGAATTTCTTTAATTCATTTAGTTAATGCAATTGACAATAAAATATGATAATTAAGAAAAATATTTCATCGATTGTTCAAATCGAGGTGAATATCCTATTATATCACCGAGTTTAATACATAAACATGGTATATCATGCAAATATTTGATTATTATTTATTGCTAAACGAACATATTTAAATCCAATTAGAAGTGAATTAAATGCCATAGGAATAAATTTATTGAGACGATTTTCATCAAGTGGTTCTATTACTGGCAATTGAATTCTACGACGTAGAAAATCAAGATCATTTTTAATTGATACTAACCTATTTAAACAAAAAAAAATATAAATCTCAAAAGACGATGTTTTTTTAAATAAGGTACTTCTCTTGAAATAGTCTATTATTATCAGAAAAATAATTATATTATTAGAAAGAATATCTGACTAAAATAGTTTTCACCATGTAATTATTTGAAATGATTGAATATAAGTTGACTGATACGTTCAAAAAATGAATATGTAAAATGAATTATTTAATTAAATATTTTGTCATAGGATAATAACGATTCGAAGACTATTAATTCGAACCTTCGATCAGAAGCAAAACATTTTATTCTCTTAGATGGTAAACAAATTTATTTCTAATCAATCATCTTACGAATAAGTTTAAAAAGAAAAAAATTTATCAATAGATTATCCAGTGCGAATGTGCCGCCTCTTCGAAGATCTGTTAGGCTCTCCTGATGGAGCCCATTCGATCGAAAACTTTCCGAATTGCATAGCCGGTGCGAAGATAGAAGATATTTATTTCTGGAACTAAGACATCCTACACATTTCTCAGACTAGACTCTGTCGAGTCCAAGTCTCGAAATAACCCATTGTCTCTATCTTCTGGATTTTGTACGACACGTTATGTGTTCGCGGTTCTAAAAATAAATGTTTGTCCGCACGAAGTTCTAAATCGCGCTTGTGGAACAATGGGGAAGATAGTAAAAAAATTTTTGAAGTGAAATGAGAGGTTGTGTCGGTTCACTGTTGAGAAAAATGGTTCGAAAGGAAGGAGCGCTATCGCCCCTAGTGACCGCGCTCTAAATCCATCACTGTTCCGGAAAAGTAAATCTCGATGAAATATTAAAATTTAGTCGTTTTTTTTTTTTCTCAAGTTTGTCAATAATAAAGATTATCTCATCAATTTGGTATATTGAAATGAATGGTTAGGATATCCTATTGGAAAATTGGAACTATATTAAATATTAAAATGATTAAGAAATATTTGTCATTGAAAAGTATTACTTTTTTTTTTAGTTTTCTTTTCTAAGTTTATTCTTATATAAATTATTAACGGTATTAGATAGAAAACATTGAAAAGAATATTAATCGAGAAATCGTTTTCGATTATTTATTTCTAGAAGTCTAATTAAATTAACTAACTAGAAAATGTTAATTTTCATGATGAATCATCTGATTGTGGTCTTTGATGTTTATTTCCATTCGATGAATAATCTGATGTTGATAAATAAAATAAAAGAGCATTGCATAATCAATCAATTAAACCAGTTTGACGTCGAGTTATCATGGATTTACTTTATGAAGGTTATCGACGATCTAAATAAATAATCAATATTATATAGAATAAATAAAAAAATTCTTTCGTTTTTTTTGTTTTGGTAACCATCTTTATTTATTTATGATCCATCGGATTTTTTAGTTAATTCTAAATAATCTTTGAATTCCGATGATGAAAGAAATTAATGAAATTAAATGATAAGAAAGAAAAAAAGCAGGTTGATATTTATTCGATTTCTATAATTTGTTTTTGGTAAAACATTTTCTAAAATATATTTTAATAATAACGTTTTCTACATTTATCACATCGGTATAATAAAAACGTTCAACAAAAAAATCGAACTGGATGAAAAAAACGGATTTTTTTTGAATATGTTTACCAAACCTCGTGCTAATCATCGAACAAGATAATATGTCTTGCTACAATAATCAATGGATTTAAAAACTGTTCATTTATTGGATCTGGTCGACTCAACAGATCTTACCTAGAAAAACACACACGTATGAAAAAGGAAAAATTTTCATTTCATTTTTTATTTTATTTTATAGCAGACCGTCGTCAAAATTTATTGAATTAGATGATTAGATTTCCTACTTTTCGTTTTATCGGTAAATCTTTCAATTAATGTTTTCCATTCGAATCTTCTATTCGATAGAGATTCTCACTGCTCTTCAACATTGACATCAGATCATCCTTGACGTCTCACAATGATCATTTTTTGTTTTTATTCAATAATATAAAATATTCAAAATTTTCTTCGAGAATTTTCTTAATAAATTAATTATTTATGTTTAATTATAGATGAGTCATCCGACGAATGTCGGAATATAAAAATTATCCTGGCAAACCTTGTCTATAAACACTTCATTTCTATTGGTTACTGTTCAACCAATGGAATTTCGAGGCGAATGGAGCACAGATTCGAGTTCTCCATTCCAGAAAAGCTCGAACTATCATCTCTGTGATCGGAACGATAGAGCTCTATTTGTGGATCAATTAGAGCATGAACAAAAACAGAACCGAATTCCGTTTAATTATCTTTCCAATAGCTGAGTTGGCTTTCTTGTTTCCTTATGTTTTATATCCAATTTTGTAGCTCGTGAAATTCTCTATCGAATGGTTTCGAATAGTTGAGGTTTTATTTGACTATTCAAGGAAAAGTTTTGTTACGAAAGCGGAGATAGGTCGATCGTTATCATAGGGAAGCATAGAAAAAAATGAATATTTTTCCAATAACTCATCAATGGCTCGTCCAATCATTCTCATCTTCTTCTCTCGACCGAGATATTGTTGAAACTAAATTGTGTAGAAAATTTCATCGTAGTTGGACTCTCCTTTGAAAAGTTCTCGTGTAAACGGCCGGTCGGACATAGTGACCGATTGTAGAGTCTATCAACTTTTTGAGTACAGAAAAGAGAAAAAATAATATCTCTGTAAAGTCTTGTGAATCTTAATTGGAGTGATTTATCTTAGTTTAAACATTTAAATAGGTAATTAAGTGAAGAAAGAGCATTAGCTTATCTTTGTCAAATAGAAAATTCATTTTATAATCGATCGCGTTTAAATAAACAAATCTATATGAAAAATCTTCCTATTGAAGGTATCCTACGAAAAAATAAACATATTTTATGGAAAAATTTATTCTTCATAGTTTTTTTTTTTTTTATAGTTAAATGTAACTGGTATTGAATATGCACTTATATATCGAGAAGATCCAGTTTTGTATATTATTCTAAAACATATTTGTGAAAGAGCAAATCAATCTATGTTATCAAACAAATTGAAATGATTGTTTAAAAAACATATTTTATATGATGTTTATCTGTTGAAGACAAATACTATATTCGATCTATTGATATAAACAATCTATTTAGAATAATAAAACATTGAATTGATATGATTTTCGAATATTTGTATAGAGTCGTCAATAATCTGGAAAGTCGAAAAAAAATCTTCGTTTTCTTGGTCTTATGTCAATGATTGATCCACCAAGAGCAGCTGTTCCAGAAGCGTTTGTTTTTTTTTCCTATTTTTAATATAAAAAAAAGTCGAATATTGTTTTTGTTTAGTGTTGCTAAATGTCGTTCAGCTGGAATAAAAGTAATAATGATAACAGGTGATCATCCGATAACAGCTAAAACAATAGCTCAAGCTGTTGGAATAATATCCGAAGAGTGTGAAACAGTTGAAGATATATCTCTTAGATTAAATATTCCAATTGAAAATGTTAATCGACGTGATGCTAATGCTTGTGTTGTTCATGGAGATGATTTAAAACATATGACATCATCACAATTAGATCATCTCTTAAAAAATCATTCAGAAATTGTTTTTGCAAGAACATCACCACAACAAAAACTTATTATTGTTGAGGGTTAGATTTATATTATTTGAAAAAAAATTTATTTTTATATTAATTAGGATGTCAAAGACAAGGTGCAATTGTTGCAGTCACTGGAGATGGTGTTAATGATTCACCTGCTTTGAAAAAAGCAGATATTGAAATAGCTATGGGTTTCATTTTTATTTCATTTTTTTTTATTTATCATAATAATAATATTGTTTATTAAAGGTATTGCTGGTTCTGATGTAAGCAAACAAGCAGCTGATATGATATTATTAGATGATAATTTTGCTTCAATAGTAACAGGTGTTGAAGAAGGTCGTTTAATATTTGATAATTTAAAAAAATCCATTGCATATACATTAACATGAAATATACCTGAAATAACTCCATTTTTAATTTATTTAACAACTGATACTCCATTAGCATTAGGAACAATAACAATATTATGTATTGATTTGGGTACAGATATGATTCCAGCTATATCATTAGCTTATGAAAAAGGTGAAACTGATATAATGAAAAGACGACCACGAGATCCAAAACATGATCGACTTGTTAATCAACGGTAATTTTTATTTAAATCAGAAAACGAAATTTAATTTCTTTATTTTAAAAAATAGTCTTATATCGATGGCTTATGGACAAATTGGATTAATTCAAGCAGGTGCTGGATTTTCTTCATATCTTGTTATTATGGCTGAAAATGGATTTTTACCATCATGTCTTTTGGGTCTTAGAAAATCATGGGAATCAATTGAAATAAATGATTTAGAAGATTCATATGGACAAGAATGGGTTACAATTTTTTTCAATCTTTTTTTTTCTATAAATTCTGCTTTTATTTTTTTGTTTTTGTCTAGACATATGAACAACGAAAACAACTTGAATATACATGTCATACAGCTTTTTTTGTTACAATTGTTATTTGTCAATGGGCTGTATTAATTGTTTGTAAAACGCGAAGAAATTCGATTTTTCAATAAGGAATGAAGTTAGTTACATTTTTAAATTAACAATTATTATTAGAAAAAAAAATATTCGATGATAATTATTCTTTTTATAGTAATTGGATGTTAAATTTTCGTTTAGTTTTTGAAACTGTTTTAGCTGCAATTATATCTTATACACCATACTTAAATACAGCTCTTCATACATATCCACTTAAGTATATTTAGAAATAAAAATTTTTTTGATTTATTTTAAATAAAATTTCATTTTATTTAGATTTCTTTGGCGGCTTATTCCAATACCTTATTTTTTCTTAATATTAGTTTATGATGAAGTTCGAAAATATATTATTCGAAAAGATCCAGGTGGTTGGGTTGAAAGAGAAACTTATTATTAAATTTTATTTATTTAGAAAAATTTAGTCAAAGACAACTTTGTTTTCTTTTTTTTTTCATTTAGAAATATTTCAATTATTTACTTTCGAAGTTTTTTCAATAAAATTTGTTTTTCAATTATTATCTTTACCAAAACAGTTATATCATTTAATCTCTTCTCCTACTTCGATAATTATTTATTAAACAGGTCAAAATAGATTTATTTTTACTTTTTTCTGCCTAATGGATTTTATCGTCGATTAATCTTCGGACAACAATCGAATAGTTTTAATTCATAGTTATCCGAAACACAAGTTCTATGCTTTTTAATTGGGAAAAAATGATCTGAAAGATAAATAATCTCATCGATTTTTCAATAGAATATGAACATTTTTAGCGGTATGAGCTAATGATAAATCGAAATAAATATGTAATTCGGAATCAGCACGAAAAACTGCATCTATCCATATATGTTTTAGCGAAAAATTTTTTCCCACCCAAAATTGACCTGCAGCATCATAATCTGTTTGAAGATTATGATGAAGTTATTTCATTGAATCTTGATTCAATTGACAAGCATATACATGATGTACATGATTATTAACAAATAGAAGATTATTAAATATTCAATGCTTTTATAAAAGTTAATAGTTATTTCATTAGCATATAAAACTTATTCAATTCTCATTCATTTGTCATTATTTTCTTAAAATGATATTTAGGAGTTTGTTATCTTGGATATGTTTTTTATTGTTAATATCAAATGATCGTTCAATGGCACTTTGAGTAACAGAAAAAAAAAAGAAAAATGTCTTTTCAATTAATCATGGTATTGAATGGCCAAAGTATAGAAAACGAATTAAATATGATAAAGACAAATATGACTATCATGAAGAACAGGAAAAAAAAAGAAAATTTTATCATCATGACAGACAAAAAAAAGAAAATATTATCATCACGACAGACAAAAAAAAGCATATGATATGACAAACTGAATAACAAAAAAAAAAAGAATTGATGAATGAAGAGAACGATGATCATCTAATATCATTTAAACCATATTTACTCCATTAAGAAGTTTTTTTATTTCAATGAGATAATTATCTAATGAAATAAGATCTTTATTCAGTTGTCGACGTAACTCATCCATTTGTAATAATACTTGAAAATTTGCATTCTATAAATATAAAAATTGATAAGATTACTATTCAAAAATAAACATATATATATATCATTTACTTCTTTTTCAGACATGATTTAACTCTTGTAAACAACCTTAAGAACTACTTAATAATAATAAGATGAACGATAAAAAAGGCTGAGTATATATATTATATATATATAACGTTCATAGTCGACGATCGTGCTCTTCTTTTTTGTTTTTTTTTTTGTCTTGACGAATGACATTGAATAACAATAGTCATTGTTTATATTGACTATTCTCTTATGTATCAACTAATGCCCATGTCAAATGAAAGTGACTATGTACACTGAGGTGCACATAGCTGACTGAATATATGTACTCATGTACGAGGTGAGAGTGAGGGCGAGATTATTACTCCTAGTAAGGGCACAAGGGTAAAGCGCTCAATTCAAGTTAAAACATACAAGAAAAATAC